GCGATGGCCGTATCCCAGCCGGCTTGACTCAGGACACAACCAAAGAACCTCCACTTCTCTGCAAGCTTTTTCCCTGCTCCTCAGACAAGTTCTCTACCCTACACTGATCTGTATCCTGCCAAACACACAGCTCCTGGGACTGAACTATGACCATGCCATTTTCAGGATACACAACAGCACCACAGACAAGGTGATCATGTGCCCCTGAGTGACCCCAGTCCCATGACACTGGTCAAGCACAAGAAGCCCAACTAAGTTCAAACATCAGGAGAGTCCCTGCCACCATCAGACTCCTGGGCACACAGAGCAGAAAAAAGGAATTAGGACTATCCCTACTCCACAAATTGGGAACAGAGGCCACAGAGGTGACAAGACTCACCCAATGTTTCAAAGGAAGCTCAATGAAGATTCCTGTTCAGTAGGAAGCAGCAGTTGAAAACAAAAACGAAACAGAAACCATAGAGAGAATTAGGCTGCATATAGAGGGGATAGAGAGGAGCACAGGTTACTGTTGTACTGTCATTTTGCCTCACACTGAGCATTTTGGTTTGACTACTTCCTTTCTGAAGGTGACAGCAGTTTCAGGACCAAGGAAAGGCAGTAAGTTAGGAGGTAGGCAGGGTTTCAAAGGACTAGAAAGCAAACAGATGTAAGAATGGCAATAACACTTCAGAAGCAGCTTTTGCCTGGTTCCAGAATCCAAGACTGTGGAGACAGACCTTAAAACCTGTGGATACACTTTACAGTTAGCTGTGCTGGCTGCACTGTGTTGCAGAATTAAGACTTTTGTCCTTGAGCTCTTTTCTAAACATGTACACAACTCTTGCCTGCGAGTAATCAAAAGAGACCCTGACCAGCCAAGTACAGCTCATGTGGGGAGTTTGCTCGTGAGAATGGACAGATAAGAGGCTTCTCGTACACAAGATGTGCCTGGGAGTGCACAGGAGAGTGTGATCAAAACAGACCTGGGAAAATCTGCTCTCCCTGTGTGATAAGAGTGACTGAAGGAGCACATGAGCTAATAACAACCCTGGCTGCATAGTCTGGTCTCTTGTTTGTAACCCACAAATAGTGCTTCTTGCTAAGACATATAAATTTGTGTGCCTGCTTGCAATAAAATGGCATTTGCTTGATCATAATGATCGTCAGCAGCGTCCGTGAATCCCGCGCCAACAAAAACCCAGCGAAGTAAAACCCAGGGAAAAGCCAGTAATAACTGCCAGCACAGACCCCCAGCCCAGGGAAGTGGTTCAGGATGAGAAGGCAGGATTACACAAGTTGACAGTAACCAGGTTATGCACACTTACAAGACTATAAATAAAAGCAGAGCTTAAGAAAACAAGATCTCTGGTCTAGCTGCAAGACCTGAGAGAGCTGCAGTCTGGCAGTGCCAAGACTGGCAGAGAAATTAAGACTAGATGGAGCCAGGGCTCAGTTAATCTGTCACTCTTCAGGAAGATTTTCTGATTCCTTACATATAATGTTTCTTTTTAACTTGTATCCAAAAATATAGCTGGAATGCAGAAATTTGGTTTAAGTTTCAGCATCCTTAAGATTGAGCTTTGCAGGTATTTTACTTTTATTGAAGAATGAAAATGATTGTGTCCAATTTGGGAATAAAGCAGGAAAAAAAGGTCATACTAAAAATAAACACATTGCTAAGAAATCTTATTCGTGGTGTGGTTTGGACCAAAATCCATTCCGGTGCTGACTTCAGAAAGAAATTCATAGCAGCTCTTACAAGGAAAAAAAAGTCACTTTGCCTTACCTTCATTAGAAGGGCTTTTTCATTCTCAGCAACACTCGTCCAGAGTCGAGTAACCTGGTGGATCTCTGAGTTGAGAAATTGATTTTGGGTTTTATATGCATCAATATCATCCTGCCATGAAGCAAAACAGTCACACAGGTCAGTTCTTGATGGGCTTGGAATCCACTCCCATTTCAGGGACCTTAAGTGTGGATTATGTTAAGGATAAGAAAATATCTCAACAATTTTGTTCTCTGAGAAGACAGGACTCTCACGGACAAGTATTGCCTACAAACGAAATCAAGGTACAACACTAAATAGGAGTGTCATGCATAGACAAGATATTGGAAAATGTAAGTGGAGGGCATGTACATCCTTAGAAAACACAGAGACATCTGGGTGATACAAAGCTTGAGAAGCACCTAAGTAGTAAGGAGAATGTGTGTCTTTTGTTCTATCTTTTTAAAAACTGGCACAAATTTCAGCCTCATGGCTGGCAGCAAAAACACACACTCTTACACAATGAACCAAGTGTCTCTTTTGGCAATTCTCCATCCCACGCTCACTGGTCATTACAACTGCACATAGAGCAATGTACGACAAGCTGGATTCGAAAGAACCAGGATGTATTGGGAAATTGTTTGCAAGAGGGAAACACAGCAGAACACAGCTAGTTAAGGCAGCAAGTGAGACTGCAGCTGTGAAACAGAAGACTGAAGAAAGAGGCAGGCACTGAATGGTAACAAGAAGTCAAACAAAACAAGCTCTGAGCTGGAGCTGGAGCTGAAACTGACCAGGATGCTTTTGAGCACCCTGCTGGGAGCAGGTGAGCATCTTCTAGCTTGTCTCTGTGTTGGAGACAGATGAGGCAACCAGCAGAAGTATATTCGGTGCTTCCCTCAGGGAATACCCTCCCACTGAAACAAAGAGCACAGAAATGGGAGCCCCCAGATGACCCCTGCCATCTCACCCACCTTCAGGTGCTCAATCTCCTCCTGTTGCTTATACAGTGTTTCTGCAGTGATGGCATTGGCTTCTTGCAGGGGGTCAGTTTGCTCTCGGGCCATCTGCTCTGTCAAGGCCATGATGACTTCCTGTTTGGCATGGTTCTTCTCCATCAGAAGCTGCACATGCTCCTTGAGTTCCTGGATGTGGCTGTCCCTCAGAGTCAGCAGCTGCTCCAGTTCCTTCTTCTCTTGCTCAAGAACTTCCAGTCGACTGGTGAGATCTGCAATTTGTCTCACTTTGTGGCGCACTAACTCCAGCCTGTCCTTATCTTCTGCTGCAGTGAGATACATGCTAGATACTCGTTTCTCCTGCTGGGCTGCCTCCAGAGCTTTGTGTAGAAGTTTAACCAGCTCCTGGAAAGGGAATGCAAAGTCATCACATCACAGTGCTGCCCAGGGCAACGGCAGCACAGACAGAACAGACCCAACAAGTAATGAACAATGAGAAGTCCTCAGAGTCTTGAAATGTACTTGTATCAGAAGCAAAACTCAATGCAATAACCTTGAAATCACAGCAGTGCCTCTCCAGTAGAGAAGCTCTGGTTTCAAAGCTGGGCCTGAACGACCTCTGCAGCAGCCCACAGATGACTTTAGGTGGACTGCTAACAGACAAGCTGCTGCTCACATTGTCTGAATTCTGGCTTTGCTACAGTCATCGTTCCTGGGAGGCCCAGCACAGACCGGAGAAGCGGGAGATCTGGTCAGCAGTGTGGTAAAATGGGAGGGAGGGAAATAATGAGGTCTGCATCTACCTGTACTACAGGAAGGAAACTGCTGTGTTCATTTTAACCTTCCCTATGCCATAGAGCTCCCTCACTCCATCCCACCTGAAGAAACAAAAGCTTGCCTCAGCAATACATTGCTGATTCAGGCTCTGCCATCTCAGCCTCTTAGGGAAGCAAATCAAAGACATAACTGATTGCCCACCATGGGACCTGGCTCTCCCGCCTCTTCTCCTGAAAGAGCTACCAGCATCACCAGTGGAGAGCCTGGCATTGCTCTGTGCTTGTGAACAAGCACAGTACCATTCCGGAGAGACAGCCCTTGCAGTGACTCTGTGCACTGACTTACACAGATAAATCACCTCTAAATGCTGGACGACTGCCCAAAACGTCCTGATGTTAAGAGCATGACTCAACCTGGCAGTCTGGGCCAGTGTCACAGTACTTATTCAGGACTGTACTTCGTATGTTCACTGAGCAACAGAGACACATGAGCAAGATACCTGCAAAGCACATTTTGATTTGTTTTCCCTCTCTCTTCCAGTCCATCTGCCAGCTGCACTTCTTAGCAACGGCTGAAGGACAGTCCATTCTCCCTTATGCTGGGCACAATCAGGCACATACAAAAAGGAGCTTCAACACCAGGAGTTTCAACAGGTCCCCAGTGAGAGCTTGCTGAGCACTTCTCAGCCCAGCACCAGGTCTAAGTGAGTCCCTGTGACTAGCCTCAGGGCCCTGCCCTTACAGGCAGCAGACTCGTCACCACACTCACCTTCTGTGACTTGACTTCCTCTTTAAGTGTCAAGATCTGTTGCTGTAGGACACTCACTTTATCCATCGTGTTCCTCTCCCTGGACAGTTCTTCAGGCAAGCCTGGGAAGCCACTGGTCATCCACCTGGCTTTCCTAACCCAGTTCAGCCTGGGCTCCATCTTACCATCCTCTGGGGTCCCCTCCTTAACTGAAGAGAAATAGGGTTAATTTACACAGAATTGGGTTGCCACTACAGACTCTTGCATATTGCAGTGAGGGTACTCATAACAGCGTAACAGAGAAAATTGACACACAGAACAAAGAAAACTGATGTGCTTGGATCTCCACAGGGTTGAAGTACAGACAGTAGGGATCAGCCACAAGTACTTCCAGAACAAACAAGGCTGGGATGTTTTACAGTGCCTGTTAATCCACCCTGCATCCCACCTATCTTGCACACCACAAATGCAAGTCACCAATGTGGAGGTAACTTTCCAAGCATGCAGTGGAGCTGCTGAGCTTCACCTGTGACCATGCAGCAACTTAACTTCTACCTCAAAGAAATAGCAGTGTGGGCTGGCACCATTGATGCTACTTTTGCGTCCGCAGGAGGTTCCAGAGGTAGGAGACAGACAGATCCAGCCTGAAGTACAGTCAAAAGAGTCATTCCTGTGCCAACAACACAGGAAGGGACCTTAAGCAATGGGATACGAGTTTTTATGTCCCGTGATGGCTTGCCACTCTCTCCCTCCTTTTCCTGCTAAGTCTGACTCCCTGCTAGAAGGCATCGTACTAAGATCAGCTCACACAACTCAGGAACAACTACCTGCACACCCTGTCTCCACTTCTGCCTCTTGCTCCTCATTCGGGTTCTCAGAATGCTCCTGGAATTCAGTGAAGCTAAAGACGTTCCCATTGTTCCCCCAGAGGTGCCTGGAGCCACAGATACTGTAGACAGTGTTTCTGAAACAACAAGAGATCAAGACAGTCTAGAGAACAGAAGTCATGATTGCTGCAGTCAATGCATATTCAAACTGTTCAGTGCCTTACCTCTCCTCACATCCTAGCCCTCCTCCTAAAACCTAGCTCCTTCATAGGCTGCGAAAACGAACTGCTCACAGCACTGGTGGATCTGATGGGAGCAATGTTGTACCTGGTGTAAATCAATCAGTAAGATGCCACAAAATCAGCATCACCACAGCAATGTAAATCAGCTGGAAATCTCCTCCCGTGTGCTTGAACCCCACACATAAATGCAACAGGCGTGACAGAGGGATCAAAGGTAACAACAGACCAACCACATTCCTCCCTACCCCATGTCTCTGTCCTTCTCATCCTTCTTCCTTTTCTCCCTCATTTGCTCCCCTTAGCTCACTGTGGAAATCCCCAGGTGTCAAGGAAAGCTCAGCTATCTACAGCACAGCAAAAGCTGCCACAGTGATCACACAATGATGACATATGAAGCAGCGACGTCCTGTGCTTTGAACCACTTTTAATAACCTTGCCACAACAAACTCAGTAGACTTCAATGCAATAAAGAAATTCAGGAACAAAACTGCAACCAGACCCACATACAGTTTGTTACAGCTGCTGTTTTCAGGTATTGCCAGAGGCACTAAGAAGTGACTTTACAGCATCATGCAGAACCACAAATGCACAAGTTTCTTCCATACCACCTATGCAGGAAAGTGAGACAGCTGTCTGCCTCTATACAGGTCTTTTCCCTTTTCTTCCTGTGTTGTCCATCAACTAAAAAAAAAATACAAAAACAAGTCCCTTGTTTTGAAATCTACAGAAGACAGAAGACTCACTGCCAGCTACTTCCTAACTGTAACTGAAGTTGGCATTTAGATACTGTTCTCCTTTTGCCTTGTTACTCTAAAGGCTCCACAGCAGAACAGGGGGCATTTCTGACCTCAGAGATTATATTGGCACATAAGATCAGCAGACATGCATTCCCTGTAGTGTGCAGTTTGCACTCATCCAATGCAACTTTTCTTCTTTCCTCTACCTCATGCTGCACTTTGGTTTTCCTCTGAGACAGCAGCAGCTCAGGGATCTGATGAACTTCACTGAAATCAGATATGCCACTCTAATGACAACCCGGTGTGACAGTCATAGAGCCTGAAGAAATGTTCACAGAACCAGGGAAGCAATATAATTTGAAGCTGGGAAGAAGCAACTGTTATTCAAGACAGCAAAAACAACGCTGGGGAGGGGGTAGGAGAGATGATGATATTATTTTTAATCAAAACGAGGAGGAGAGAATGCATAGCCAGCAAAATAGTACAGCTGACTCTGATCCACTTTGTTCTTCCTACAAGTATCAGTTGTAGCCACAGTTGTGGTGGTAAAAAGCTACAGCCAATCTCCTCACCAAAAACATTTGGTAGGTGACAGGCTATCTACCATACCTGTGGCCACTTACACATTTTTGGTGATAAGTAAATAAGGGACTAGGGCACACTTCAGGAGATACTGATCGTGGTTGTCTTTGTCAAACTGTAACTGCCCAAAGTTTGTAACTCGTAGCCCTGACGGAGCTACTCATTGCAACTGCAGACGGCAGCTTCACTGTAGGCAGTGGGAATATTCACACACTTTACACTGAGCAAGCATAACAAGCTGCGCAGTGTCAGGCTGTACAGGCTCAAGTACCTTTTGCTTGGAGTTCTTGCTTTAGAGAATGCACCACATTCAAGGTCCTTTGAAACCATGAGAAAGTGCTAACGGGCTATAGAGCACAGTACCCTTCCAAGCTGTGATGTGCAGATGCAAAACACCACCTACACTAGAGAAAGCTTAACCAAGCCCTAGGCCTGCGACTGGGGCCTTTACTAGGTGAGCTAGATGATGTGAAATGCACTGGAACAGGAGAGTGTGAAAAATTCTCTGGCAGGAAGTTTACTTTTGCCTGGAACATCCTTCAAAAAGCTGCTTTGTGGCTCTTCCACCTGGGCAAGAGACCCATTTCACACACTACGTGACAGGCAAGGAAGGCACAAAGCAGCAGGCTGCGTGTCAACCCACTGCAGCTCTCCTCAGGCACTTACTGTATCTCTGTCCAAGGGTGTTTCAGGGAGATGTTCGGAAGAGCAGTAGATGTCTGAGGTGCAGGCAAAGATGCTGCCTTTAAACCCACTGCCTCTGTTGGTGTTTTCACTGGAGGCAGAAAGTCCTCATTGTCAACATCTATGTAAAAACAAACCAGGACACAGAAGCAAGTGACCAAGACAGAATTTCATCGGACCTTCACTCCTTCATGCAACATAAGAGCCATATTTTACTACAGGTGTATGTTCCACGTTCAGCTGGCCAGGTTTCCTTAGTTTGAGGTCAAATTACAGAAGGTTCTATCTACAAATAGAGTCATCTGTACAAGGACAATCAAGTGGCTTGAGTGGTATATGTGGATGACTAACCCTAAACAATCAAACTTAAACTGCCTAAAGGAATAAGGAAGGGAACTGTTGCTTTTCTCTTGCCCCACCCCAAACAGTGTTTGATAGTTTTAACAGGCAGGTAACACTCCACAAACACAGTTTGTACTGAATTATTGCCTGCCATAGCAAAACGCCAAGGTACCTAGAACCTCTCAGAGCAGACACTTACTATGGAGAGGGTTAATTGTTTCAAATAAAATGTGCATCTGGTCATACCAGGTGGAGACCCTGCTTGTGCCCTCCCCTGACTGCTAGGAATGCACATCTCCATCACACTACTGCTGAAAAAAAACCCAAAAAACTGGCTTGCTGGAAGTTTCATAGGCCTCACAAGAAGAAGGGGTATACCAAATGTGCATCCTTCACACGCATGAGGAAAATCAAGAGGGAATTTATGATCATAAGATACTTGAGTATCTCCAGCCACATACGGTGGACCAGTCTATTCACATTCATCCATAATAAGGCTGCAAGTTCCAAACATCAACCAAGCACTGATAGCTGGCACCTGCTGCATTTAAAAACCTGGCCAAAACCCCCGCCCACTTACACATGAGAAGCACCATTCATCACAGGGACAGGGGGCTGAAAGCAAAAGAGACGCAGACATATGTGACACCTACTTGTTTCAGCAGTCAGAGGCTCATTCACCAGCTGGGAGCTGCCCGCAGGAAATCTGCTCTGAGTGTTGCAAAATTCCCAACGTCTCATTTGTAGCTGCTGCAGCCAGTACATCATCGCCTGTCTGCTAATTGCCTAACACAACACAAAACAGGATGGAGAGGGGAGTCATCTCATCATCATGAGACACTTCCTGAGGGGCTGACCACCACTGCACTGTCCAAGTCAGCAGAAATAAAGGTGAGCTGTGTCAAGCCTATGCTATAACCTCCAGTCCCAACACTGGTTGGTGAGGACAGAGTAAATCTTCAGCAGACCCTCATGAACAGAACCTCAGCAGACTGCTGCCCTAATTTTTGAAGGTATTTTTGTTTACTATGCTCCAAGGCTAACCAGAAATGTTGCAATTATTTTAGCCAGGAATCATCCACACAGATTCTTAATAGCAATTTTCACAGAGATAAAAATCTAGCAAAGGTTCCTGCTGGAGCAACTGTTTTAGAAAGAGAAGCTCATTTCTATTCATCAAAGTACATGTGGACTGCAGGACTCCTCAATGACTAATTCAGCACCCAGTTCGGCTTTTACTCCTATCCTGTTAAACATTAGCCATCTCAGAGGTAATGGAGTCCCAGACTTGCCAGAACAATACAACTAATTCAAGTTCAAATGGTAACAGTCGCCAATAAGAGGAATAAAATTAAACTCAGGCTCAGAGGTATCTGAGCAGAGATGTGTCTGTCCTGACTGGGGATGTTTCCTAACGGCCCCCACAAGAAGATGCCACCCCTTACCTTCAAGGTAAAAACTCTGCTTGGTGTTCTGATCTCAAAAACTCCTTCCCCATTTTCAACTTTGCAGTCGAAGCTGGCGCCGGAGAGATCGATAAACCCTAAAGGGTTGATGTCCTGTGCAGTTCTGTAGTACAGTAAATGACATTTGTTTTCATCATAAAAGAACCAGCGAGACTTCCAGGTCTTGATCGGTCCCTTGATGCCCAGCTTATTTAAATAGCCACAGAGCTTTTTTCTGGGCGTTTCTCTGTTGGGTTTCAGCTGTGCGTTTTCCAGTTCTCCAGGAGAGGAAAGCATGTCTTTCTCGTTTGCTGAGGCTCCATTGCTGCTGTTACTTTCTGGATTTGACTCCACTAAATTGCCTGGAGCAGCAAGGGGACAGGCTCCACTTTCTGGTCCTTTCTTCATCTCTCTCAGGACATACACTCAGGATCTTATTGAAACAGAAAATCCTCTAGGTTATAAGTAATAGCTGATTCCAACTATATCGTCATTGTTACAGAACCAGCAGGAAATGAAAAAGGAGGAATAAGCTCAGGTCTGGCATACAACAAAAAACAATCTCTAACTTTCAAACTGCCCAGCCCAGGCTCTTAATTCTACTTTTGGTCACTGCTCCCTGTCTTCCTCAGTAAAAATGACTTCCATATATCTGTTTTCTTCCTTTTCCATTCCTAAATTAGCCAGGACTAGCAGCCAACAAGCAGTATCACAATCTCTTCAGTGAAAAGCAAGTACAGTCTTTGGGCATACCAAATCAAGAGCAGAATGCAGGGCACTGGACACCACAGACAAAATAGGGGAAGGGTACAAGCTCAGGGCAGGAGGGGCACATACTCAGGTCAGGCAATTTCAGGTAAGTGTATCCTGGCATTTCCACAGAATGTTGAGCTAATACTTTAAAACATATTGCGTGGAGAAAAACTCAACCTTATGCAGCATCCTTAAAAATCATTCATGTCAGCTGAGGATTGTTGTTAAAAAGCCTGCACGCCATGTGTCAGGTCTCTATCCAGTAGGTCTCATATGATGGATTACACACTACAGAATTATTCTGTGATCCTCACTAAAGAGACTTGGTCGCTCACTGATCAAGGTAACCCACTGGGTTCCTGAGAGGAACAAAATATGGAAGCAAAAAATTGAAAAGTTGGGAGAAGATCTGTGGGGATCTCTAGTCCAACAACTGTAGAGTTTTGCACCTGGGAAAGAACAACCCCATGTGCCAGCACAGGCTGGGGACTGACCTGCTGGAGAGCAGCGCAGGGGAAAGGGCCCTGGGGGTGCTGGTGGGCAGCAGGATGGCCATGAGCCAGCAGTGTGCCCTCGTGGCCAAGAAGGCCAATGGCTTCCTGGGCTGGGTTAGAAGGGGAGTAGCCAGTAGGTCGAGAGAGGTTCTCCTGCCCCTCTGCTCTGCCCTGGTGAGGCCACATCTGGAATCTTGTGTCCAGTTCTGGGCCCCTCAGCTCCAGAGAGACAGGGAACTGCTGGAGAGAGTCCAGCACAGCCACAGGGATGATGGAGGGATGGAACATCTGCCTGGGGAGGAAAGGCTGAAGGAGCTGGGGCTCTGCAGCTTGGAGAAGAGGAGGCTGAGGGGTGACCTCATAAATGTTTATAAATATGTCAAAGGGGATTGTCAGGAGGATGGAGCCAGGCTCTTTTCAGTGACATCCAGTGACAGGACAAGGGGCAACGGGTACAAGCTGCAACACAGGAGGTTCGACAAAAATATTAGGAAAAACTTTTTCCCTGTGAGGGTGACAGAGCCCTGGCCCAGGCTGCCCAGGGAGGGTGTGGAGTCTGCTTTTCTGGAGACATTCAAACCCACCTGGACACGTTCCTGTGTGATCTACTCCAGGTGATCCTGCTCTGGCAGGGGGTTTGGACTGGATGATCTTTTGAGGTCCCTTCCAACCCCTGACATTCTGTGATTCTGTGATTCTTTGATTCTGTAACTTCCTCTCAGAGAAGGGGAAGACTTCAAAGCTGTGGCCAGCTACTCAGATGTATTTTGATCATATGCAAGGATAGCAATTCTGCCATGGTTCTGGGTGCTTTAAGGGCTTAACCATAAGGCAAGTGTGATTTTTTGCTCAGAACTGGAGACATCCACGGCCTTTCTACAAAGAAAGCTACCGACACTCCTGAAAAATACTAACAATTTCTTACATTTTTTTCCTACCAAAAAAACATGGTTTAAAGATGAAAATACTGCAGTTCAGACAGTAACGTATCTGATGTAAGCAAGTAAATTGTTGCAGTGTTAAATTCAAGGGAATCCAACTGCAGACACAAAAGTATTGACCATGACAGCAGGTGAATGGAGATTGATACAGTGGAGAACATGGAGATATTACCCAAGGTCATGCTCTTAGGAAGGACTTAGCCTCATGACTGAAAGAAGGCTTATGCATCCTCGTACTGGCCAAGTCCCGTTACCTTTATTGCTGCACCCTCCTGTTCCCACACCAGCTTTTCAGCTAACTGTAGGAAATGTTCACTCTTCAGAAAGCTAACTCGACTCCATTCAGTTCACTCCCCTGACAGCACGAATCCCACTGCTGAATGCATCCACAAACGCCAGTTAGAAGCAATCTTCACAAAGGTGCTGCCTCAGCTAAGCCTCTGAAACACCCAAAAGCTTCGCTTCCAAACTAATTTTGCCTGGCGTACAGGGACCATCATCAGGAGGAAGGAGCAGTCTCGAGCCCGAGGATTTTATGGCAGTACCAGCACAGTGACCTCCCTGTACAGCCTGAGAACTCAGCCCGACCTCCACCTCTCGTCAGCATCATGGGCTGTCGGTGCACGCCAAGAACGGGATCAAGCAAGCATTTTCCGTGCAAGCACCAGACTGTACAGAGTCAGGCACCGCAAAGCAGTCTAAGGGAAAAGATCTCACCTCCTGAAGAGAAGCAGGGAGATGCCGCTGGAAGCCCCGGTCTGCTGGCACAAAGCCACGGCTGCAGGCACCACCGAGCAGGTAACCGCAGCCTCCCCAACGAA